AAAAGACAAATATAAACTTAAGCTTATACATACTCATATATTTTTGTTAGAAAATAAAATAAAAACAGAGAGACAGATATGGTGGCTCATGACTGTAATCCCAGCACTCAGGAAGCTGACACTGAAAGAACACAAGTTTGAGGGCTACATAGCAAGACCTTGTAAGCAAGACTCATATCAATAAGAGAAAAAGAAAGAGAATAGGGAAATGGGGAAAGGAAAAGAAAAAGAGACTCAAAGTCAGTGCAGGAGGCTCAGACCTATAATCCTAGCTATTCAGAAGGCTAAAATCTGAGGACTGAGGTAGAAAGCTAGTCTGGACAGAAAAGTTCATGAGACTTTTATCTACAATTAGCTAGCAAAAAGTCAGAAGTGAATCTGGGGCTCAAATGATAGAGCATTAGCCTTGAGTGAGAAAGTTCAGGGACAGCATCCAGGCCCTGAGTTCAAGCCCTAGTACTAGCACACACACAAATTTAAAGCCAGGTGAAGATGTGGCTTAAGTGGTAGAATACCAGCCAAGGAAAAAGAAAGCTTCCAGGCTGGGGAGGTGGCTCAGTGGTAGAGTGGTTGCCTTGCATGCATGAAGCCTTGGGTTGGATTCCTAAGTATCATGCAAGCAGAAAAAGTTGGAAGTGGTAGGATAAAGTGCTAGTCTTGAGCAAAAGAAGCTCAGGGACAGTGCCCAGGCCCTGAGTTCAAGCTCCAGGACTGGCAAAAAAAAAGAAAAGAAAAAAGAAAAGCTTTCAAAGAGTAAAGCAAAAGCAGAGGTTAGAATTTAAGGGCAGCACAGGCATGAAGGTTCCTGAGTCTCCATCTGAACCAATTGCTGGGGTGGTCGCACAAGTGCGTTCTGGTTCTAAGGGAAGCATAATGACATACAGTCCAGACTAGCCCAGCATAAAGCAAGTCTCTCCCTCAAGAATAACCAATAACAGGTCAGGCGCTGGTGGCTCATGCCTATAATCCTAGCTACCCAGGGGGCTGAGATCTGAGGATCACCGTTCAAAGCCAGCCCAGGCAAGACAGTCTGTGAGACTCTTATATATAATAAATTACTCAGAAAAAGCTGGAAGTAGCACTGTGGCTCAAATGGTAGAGCACTAGCCTTGAGCTCAGGCTCAGGGACAGGGCCCAGACTCTGGGTTCAAGCCCTGGGACTGGCAAAAAAGAAAAGAGAACAACCAATAACCAATGCAAGAAGAGGCTGAACACATAGCTCAAGTGGTAGAGCGTCTACCTACAAGGGCAAGAGGAAGAGGAGATCAGCCCACACCTGTCTATCCCCCCTGCCTCCAATGCGAGCTTGGTTCTCTCTTGACTTCTGTGCCCCTCTCTGATCCCTGAGCCCTGCAGCAATGTGTTCCTCTTACAGGAGGAGAGAGACTGCCCCCGCCTGGGTCCTCAGAACAGAACACCTCCGAGTACAGGGCGGGTACTCAGCAGAGACGCCAGGGTGAGGGCAGTGCTTGGTGATGTCCACACAGCGTTGGACAGAGGTGGTGCATCGCTGCTGAGCCTGTGTCTGTGCGGCATGCCATGACTAGGGCAAGCTGTCCCCTGCTGTCCCCAAGGAGTGCAGGCATGCTCACCTCCTCCCAGATGGAGTAGTGGCTGAGGAAACAGCCAATCTCGCCCTTGGTCAGTGTGCGGCCTGAGTAGGGGTCCTGGTAGCCCGGGAGCAGGTCCACACCCAGGGTCCTGAGGATGCTTCTGTTGAGCAGCCTGCAAAACACACCTGGTTAGCAGGTTCTGCAGAGGGGCCTCCCCTGGGTCCCTGGGGACAGTCACCCTGGAGTCTGGTTTGAAGGAGGCTGAGCACTGTGCCTCCTTTCTGTGCTCTGAGCTGTCAGCAACTGTCCTGGAGAACCTGGCACCAACTTTGGGGAAGCCTCATGTGTCTCTGTTTACACCAGCGGCTCCTCCTGAGGGGGAAGTACTTCAGGAGGAATGTGAGCAACACGCTAAACACTTCCTGGGCAGACACTGAGCAAAGAGTAGACATCCTCAAGTCCTAAGAGCTGGGAGAGCCTGGTGCCA